TAAAGATACAATATACATGTATCAACCACTAAGCTTCATAGATAACCAATATCTAGAGATTATATATGCAAACTACACAAAGCTATAAATGGACTGAAAAAACTAACCAAATAGTGGTACTCCGCCTTCTTTACTTATATACACATCCAAAACTTTAATCTCAAACCAGCATCTCACTCACTCCTAATTTATTAGCACTACCAAACAAAAATATATCTTCTTAATCTATGTAGATGACATATTGATCATAATAACTCACCCACAATTATTATTACACTTATACAGAATCTTAACCAACAATTAAACCTCAAATAACTTGGTCACATCTCATAATTCCTAGGGTTAAATATATTATATATCACAAATGATTTTTTCCTCTAACATACCAATTACCTCATATACTTTCTTAAGATTATAGGAATGCTTCAATCAAAACTATTACTAACTCTGTAACACTCCCACTCCATCAAAATCACAACCCTTAGTACACCGTTGTCAAGCCCTCAACATTAAAGATGGTTGTTAGGCTCCCAAAAATACCTTGCTACCACTCTCCTTTACATTACCTTTACAGTTAACTACCTCAACCAACACATGTGCAACCTAATATCACAACATGCGCAACTTCTCAAATGAATATTTTGATAGCTAAATGGCATAAGACATCATAGACTACCCATTTCATCAAGAAACCTGCATCGTAAAGGTTATTTTGATGTTGATTAGCCCAACAAACCAAATGACCTCAAATTCAACATAGGATTTTGTGTATTCCTCAAAACAAATCTTATCTCATGTTCTATAAAGAAATAACCCATTATTTCAAGATCCTTGATAGAGGCAGAATACAAAGCCCTAGTCTCCATCACTAACAATGTTCTATGGCTAAGAATGAAGGAAAAAGATAAGGCCCTAGCCTCTATCATTATCAATGTTCTATGTCTAAGAATACTACAATAGAAACTAACTTAAAACCCCTACCAACAAATAACATTTATAGCGATAGTTTCTCTAATATAGTCTTTCATTCTTGAATAAAGCACATAAAGAAGACTATAATTTTATCCATTTCCCCCTAAAACTGTCTGGGATTACTCTACAACACTTCATGTCTCAGTATCAGACAACAAAAAATCACACCAAATCTCTCCTAGCTACCAGGCATTAGCTTCTCACAAACAAGATGACTATCTGAGCTTCAAATGATCATATTGAGAGGGGGTAAAGGACCTCAACTCTCCTCCACTATCATGGACCGCAAAAACAACAAGATTCTCCTAACAGTAGGATAGGTTACAACATTGCCTCAGTAAGAAATTATATACAAGCTATAGATACTAGTATATGACCAAGTTACCCTGTCGTAAGCCTATAAAAAAGACAATAGTGAATGAGCCAAAATGTATGTCAGAAAGAAAATTGAATAGATTTGAATCTACCATACTTATCTTCTTCAGGCTTTTCCCTCCTCTTTTATCTCTTTTTAACATGTACCACAATCTCTTAGTTTATGATATATGATCAAAATATTTTTAAGAAATATAAATAAAATAAATATCCATGATGTAAAAAAAAGTTTCAAATACAATTATGTGAAATTCATAAAGAGAAGATTAGAGGCATTATTTAAGTGTGATTAATATTTCAACAAGTAGAATTAATATATTCTAGAATGAAATTTAAAACAATATAACTCAACTTTAGGATAGAGCCCATTAACATAAGTTTTTGCATTTAACTCTTCGCGAACTGCTTGGGTTTCCTAAGGGCCTATTTGTGATCACTTTTGTTTTTTATTTTCTATTTTTATTTTTATTTTAAAAGCATGCTTGATTGTGATATTTTCTTACAATTTTTTTTTTTTAAATGCTCAAAATATCTCAAAATTGTTTTGAGTTTTATTTAAAACTAAATATGTCATAGCATATTAAACATATTTTAGTTTAAGTAAAACTATAAAAAAAATAATATAAAAAGTTAAAAATAAAAATCAAAAGTCTAAATAACTTGAAATTGCACACATTTCCGTTCACAATGTTAGAGGTTGTTTGGGATCACTTTTTTTTTTCTATTTTTTCTATTTTATTTTATTATGTTTATGTTTTAATTTGAAACAAAATATGTTTGAAAATTTGCTCCCGGTATAATTATTTTTAAAAACAATTGAAGCACCTAAAAAATTATTTTGATTTTTAAAAAAAATATGTTAATTTATTTTTACCAAAAAAAAGTATATATATTTAAGAAAACACACAAAACAAACAAGTTTTTAAAAACAAAATAAAAATTAAAAAAATAATAATAAAATTATTTTATCTGAATATTTAGAGCAAAATGCTAAATTCAATATCCTCATATGAGATTTAAATTCAAAGTAATATATATATAGAATATACCTTTCTGGCGTCACCAAAGCCGGTTTAAATTCAACGTGGATCCATGTATTAGGCATGATCCAACTTCCACTAATATGTTTACCAGCTAAAACGGGTTAATATGCATGAAACAGCACTGGGCTGTAAATGAGCCGAGTTTGTGCAAGTTCAGGCTTGGCTCGTGTTCAGCTTGTTCGAAATCGGCTCGTGTTTGAAATCGGCTCGTGAACAGTGTGTTTATGTTCGGCTCGATTTAAATATCCGTGTTCGTGTTCGGCTCGTTAAAATTAAACTGAAAAAATAGATGTTGAGTGCTGGATTCAAACCTGGATCAAATCTATTCAAAAGAAGATACATAACCACATTACCACAGGAGGAGTTATTTTTAAATTTAGATATAAATATATATAATATACATATGTTATTAAAAAATAATTATATATATATATTTTTTTTTTCGAGCTAAAACGAGCCAAACACTAGCGAATAAAGAGCGGTACAACATGCGCAA